GGCGGACCGAGTAGCGGGCCCGGGGGCCGGGCTGGTGCCGTAAGACCGAAAAAAAGCCCCCAAAATTATACAATCTTTTTCTTTTTCTCTTTTTTCTTTTTTTTTTTTTCCCGAGGAATTCGTTTTTCCCGTTAATCCCCGGTTTCCCTTCGGTTTGTCTCACCAAAACAGCACGTTTTCTTTGCATGTATTAATTCACCGTAGAGAGATTTGGTGCAGGATCTAGGCTAATACTTGAAGGGGGAAAAAACCCAATTTGCTGAGTTGGCCACTCTGAGCAAGTAGAAAAATCGGGTTCAGACCCTCTCGCGAGGAAGAAAGAAGTTTTCTTGACGTGTGTGCTAAATGCTAAGCTCCAGTGGGAACGCATACAGCTCCTGCATTTCAAAAGGCTGAACCCTGTTTCTTCACAACTGGCCTGAGATTGAGCTCCTGCTTCCAGAAAACAAGTGGGGAGAAGCAATATCCAGTCTTAAGGAATTTTCAGAGGTACAGAGAGGGCTGGCAATTCATGAAAAAAAGAAAGCATGTAAACAAAATACCTTTTTTTCAATCAAACCATTGAAAAGATACAGGGAATCAAACGGTGACAGAAGTGTGCAAAATCTCAAAAAAACGTCAGCAGCATTCTCACCCAGCTCGAGCATAACTGAGTAGCAGATAGGTGGACATTACTTGGTGCATTGAACCCATGAGCTTTATAAAATTTATGCAAACAAGAAGAGTAACAGTGAATTTAGGACAAAAGATTTGGGGTGTGTCCACAGGGAAAACTCAAGAAAGGTTCGCTTCTCTAAGTGGATTAGCAAAACCTCATTAAGCTCCTTTGAGGATCCCCTTATTCAGTATTAAATTGTCTTTACACTTACACTAAAGGTGAATTTTATCACTTTAAATTTACACCTTTAGTTAATTTGGACCATTTTTCCTCAGTGTCCCTGTTTGGGAAGACCCCAAGCAGTTGGATTTTAGGCAGTTTGCAGCAGCACAAAAGAGATGTTAAAGATCTCTGTTAAGATCTATCCTCTCAGTCCAGGACCAAGGTCATTACTGCCACGGTGGTGAGGGACCTTTCCTGCACTGTCTGCATCACAATATCAGGTCCTGCCTAGAGACACAGACTCAAAAGCAGGCTTTCTCTTGGCTGTATGAGTCCTTAGGCCACCACAGGAAGGGTAAGTGCCATGGCTGTTGAATTTAGTCACTGTCCCAAAGTTCTTTGGAAATATAGGAGAATGGTGTCCCTGCTTAGGGACATGTCTTAGTGGTGGGATGGCAGGGTTAAGTTAATGGTTGGACTTGATGATCTTAAAGGTCTTTTCCAACCTAAAATATTCTATGATTCTATGAAATTCAGACACCCAGGTATAGAAGTCTATAGGGACATGCACTGTTTGCGGTTGCACTGACTGTCTGAGCCTCCGCTGTAGTTGCTGGAGGCTCCAAAAGACGTTCAGCCTCTGGGGATTCAGTCCAGCTACCTGAACGTGGGGTATCTCACAAGGGCAGTCACTTTTGAGACTTACTCGATATATACACACGGGAACAGCAGATATGACTGACACGTGCTGTATGAACAAACAACATGAGGCCACCCCAGGTGGAGCTACCTACCTATGTGTAGGTAAGTAAAAGGTACCGAAGTCTTCCATGCTAGAAATAGCTGAGCGTTGTTTCGCCTTTATTGACCATGATGGGAGGTTAGACACATTCTGTGCCTTCAAACAAATATGTTTACAGGCCTTAATTTTTAACTTAGTCATAAACCTAAAATTAGTACTGTGTTTTCTTTTTTTCCTGATCCAAGTTGGATATTTGATATGTGTTCAGCTGAATTTCATGTATAGCAGAGTTTTAGGTAACACATGAGCACCCCTATCCCCTGAACTTGTGTGACCAAGTAAGGTTATGGCTGCCTCGCTCATGAGGAAGAATCTTATGAATTTTGTGTCTGCAGAGCTAAGCAATTTGTAACCCTATTCTGAACATGACCTAATTTTAGGCACTAACATCCCAGTATAGATGGGATTGCAGTGGGATGGGTCGTCTCTAGTATATCTGCCTTTTGGACTGGCACACAGGACATAGGACTGCTCATGACAGTCCCTGCTCCAACTCTCATTTTGCCATTGCTAGATTTTTGGGGATGAACAGAGGCTTCTAAGTACTTCCAAGAACAAAAAGAAATCATCGAGTGATTTTTTTACTGGCCTGTTGCTCAGTTACACTCTTATATCCCACATAAGCAAATTCCAACATGGACAATACCTGTGAGACAAAAAGGCAAAACAGACTTTCTGAAAGGACCTTCTCCCCCTATGAGTCCTTACTGGCTTTTCAAATAACTCAGCCTTTTCTTCAGAGACAAAACCAAATACGCTCCACTGTCCCTGAATGGTTTTGGGGAAACAACTTGCAGCAGTGGAAAGCTAGTGGCAGGAGCGTGGGGACACACACACACGACACGCTCTCCTCTTGCAACTTCCAGCGACGCCTTGATTTTGTGACAAGCTACAAAACACACCAGTGCTGTCATTTGTTCTGGGCGGGGGGGGGCAATAAATGAAAGGAAGAAGGCGGCTCTTTCCGGGGGCTCCCGCTCCGCTGCCAGCACCTGGGGGCTCCACCGAGGACGCCATCCGAGGGAGCTGGATGCTGGACAAATCTGGGAGCGTCCTCGCCCCGAAGAGTTGCAATCGTTGGCTGCCGTCCCGCAAGCTTTTCCTTGCAGGCAGACTTTCCCTTGAGCTCCCGGAGCTGCCGAACGGCGCTGGCATAGATCAGGTTTCAAAATTAGGGTCTAATTTTAAATAAGATGTCAAAAGCCGGGAGTGACAAAGAGTGGAAAAGACTGGAAGGAGGCAAACCACAGGTAATCCATGTGAACAGTTCGGCAGCCATGCTGACAGCCGGGAACGGGAACCCCAGAGCGCTAATGTGAGCTTTCAGACTGGCTCGCCTGACCTCGGACAAGCTGCTCAGGGCTTGTTCCTGCAGGTGTTGAGCCCTCCTGCAATGCTGCTGAATACTTTGACAAGGATCGGTTGAAGCTGGGAACATTACTCTGTTTTTGTGAAGCACTCGGTTACCTCTGGGACCCATTTCCCTGCCTCAGTTTCACTGTGTATGAAAGAAACTACCTCATGGAAAAAAACCAGGACTGAAAAGTATGGCAGTAGTCCCTCACAGAATAAGGCACTTCAGTAGCATCCCTACACTTGACTGGGGCTCTTGTGTTTTCTTTTCCTTGCTCTCTTTGGAACATTACAGACCCTTGGGAAAGTCTCCAAGCCAGAAGCAGAGAAGTCTGGCGATGCAGAAAGGAAGAAAAGTGGCTAAAACCAGCCACCCAGCCACTGTCT